AGAGAGAGAGAGAGAGAAAGAAAGAAAGGGAGAAAAAAAATTATACAACATTTTTTATAAAGGTCAGAGTTGTTAGAGCACTTTCTTCCAAGTCGTCTTCTCCTTCGCCTTCTCCTTCTCAAGATAATTAAATCAAATTAGCTGCCTGAGAGACAGGGAACTCCAATCTGGTTAATCAACTGGCAATCATAAATCTGAAAAACTCAAATGAACGGAATAGCGAACGAAGAGCGACGAACTAGCGGGTTTTGGTCGATGTTAATCAAAGTGTTTCCATGGGAACATTGGGGTAAACACAAGGTTTTCAACGGCAAGTACCTATTGGATATCATAGAAATGCGTTGATTGACTACCAACAAAACCTTCCTCAAACCAGAATTTAAAAAAAATAATTTGGCGAAGACAAAAAATGGAGAATTTAACTAAAAGAAAAAACGAGAAGTGACCTCACAAGTCCTCTAGTCACGTACTGGTATATACTAATCCCTGTAAGCTTTGTAATTAATGAAAACTTTCTAAGGCATTGTTTTTCTCACTCTTCTAAAACGCATTACAAAGTTCCTTGGAGGTAAAAGAAACAAAAACCACTTTAGATACTTTTTTTCTTGTTGACCTTTTTGTACTCGAATGTTGTTGTTGTTATCGAGGCATTAATAATGTAAATATTTAATTTTATCATATCTATTGTCTTGCCTATTGTGTGGGTTGGCCACCCAAATACTTGCAAAATGGCCCCAAATCTCGCTAAAATTTCACCAGGACATTAACAAAGGTACAAATAATGACGCAAAGAAATCTTAGTTAGATTTGTTCTGAGAAACGTTTTTTTTTTTAATTTCCCGTGAACAATACACAGGAACCTTGTTTTGGCTTCCGTGGCCTGTTGTCCTTGACACTGTTGCACACCGACAGATTCGTATTCTTGAATATAATTTAGATGTGGTAAGACAAAAGATTCTCGCCAACTTTCATTGATGTGTTGTATTGAAGCTATTACGGTACTAACTGGTGTTAATGACATAATTGAGAAATAGACACCTTGCAGCACGTCAGAATGCAGCTCAATCTGGAGGACATAACAATAGGTTACCAATTCTCAGGAGATTGAAATTCTTTTGTTTTGTTCTAAATAGTTATGCTTAGATCGACCACGGTATGAAGTAATTCTAGGGAAAAAATATTAGACTTGATGTGGGGTATGATGTAATGAATATTTATGAACTAACTATATATACATTTGCATGGCCATTACCTGCTGCTATTCTCTACTTTCACATCCCCATAATACTTTGCGTCTTTGGGGGGTAACTTTAGGGTAAAAACCCACTTATTTTCAAAAATAAAATGAAGAAGTAAAAAACAGAAAAAGATAGAAGCTTGAAGACGTGTAATGAAATCGTAAGTCAATACATTTTTTGTAAGACCAAAACTCTCGATGATCTGTTTACGCAAAAATAACTTGGAATAAACTGATAATCAGTATTGTACAGATAAAAACAGGTATAGTATAAATTCAATTAAGAAACCTTTCAATTTGGGACAGTTTTTTGATTGGTTACCCCCCCAAAGACGCAAGGCATTATGGGGATGTGAAAGTAGAGAATAGAGAGTTTTCACTCACGTGACAAGGCAGCCATATTGGTGTACCAAACAATAGAAACTTTCTGCACAGTTTTCGCGCAAAAATAGAGTTCAATTACCCGAGGGTAAAAAATGTATTGTTTTGGTAAACCAATATGGCCGTTGTGACATCACGTGAAAACACTCTATTGTACTTCCTATCTTCTCGTGTCCTTTACTTTCTCTCATTTCCTCTGGTTTCTATTTTTTAATTTATGTAATTTTTAATGATAAATACTTCTTAATCATATCAAGTAATGCTTTAAAAGTTTCACGTGGTGCCTTAAGTAATGTCATGTGCAAAAATCATTGCGTGATATAATTAAGATAGTCCGTGATAAAATGTATTAAAACTAACTGGCATATTAAGTTGAATCTCAAACTTTTTTCTACTTATTTATGTAAAATATATTGTCGTTTTCTACCACATATATATGCATACATAGTGTATTTTACTGAGGCTGTTTTCTTCTGTCGTCTTGCCAAATAAGCTTTCACCTGCTTCAACTATTATGATAGATGATGGTGGTAGATAGTAAGCTAAATTAAACTTCATTCTAGAGTTCGATAGTGTTGTTTTGATAAATTTTGAGTTTATATAAGAGAAGATGAGAAAAGAAAAAACGTTTGTGCCTACGTGCATTTTAACAGGAATAATATTAACTAATATTTATGCCATCTATTTTAAATTTTTCTATCTTTCAATCTTTTTTCCTTCATCTCTTCAAGGTTTTCTTTCCTCCCTTCCTTTTTTTCAATTTAATTTTAATTTTAATTCTCCTAATATTTCATATTTCGTTTCGAAATTTTTCGGTTTTTTTCTACAACATATAATCTTTAGATCCTATCACTGAACCTGACAAATGATGAATGGCTTAAGACAGACAGTTCTAAGAATATAATTTGCGGTTAGGTTAAAATCTAAAGACTGTGAAGTATTTGATGACAGGAACTTGTTCCATAATCGCCTTAGGAAAGCTTAACTCAGATTAACAAAGTGATGAATTGGTCTACTTTTAGCCGAAGTATGTTGTATGTCGTAACCTTATTGTTCGCCATGGACAGGTAAGGTTCCTGTTCATGGGACTACTGAAGATCGTATAAAGCCATCGGCCTAACAAAATATTATGAATTCAAACATCGGGTTTAGGTGGGCTATGGCTTTCATTTTTTTCCTTCGGACGTACGGACGGACGGACGGACGGACGGACGAACAGACGGAAAGACGGAAAGACGGACGGACGGACGGACGGACGGACGGACGGACGGACGGACGGACGGACGGACGGACGGACGGACGGACGGACAGATAAACGAATGCACGCATGCACGGAGGGATGCAAGGATAGAAGAATGGATGGGTGGAATGATAGATGGAAAGATGATTTTTTACATGACTTATTTATATCCTTATATTTATTTCCTCATAGTTTCATTTCCTCCTCCCCGCTGGATACGTGCAGTGGACATCGACCCTTACACCGCCAAGATCTCGTGGCTAGTCCCGGGGGACGCCCGTGCTAATGAGACAAGATACAGAATCGAGTGGAAAAACGAATCTAGTCAGAAATCCTATGTGATAGTGAACGGAATCAAGGGGTACTATATCTTGAATAATCTGCAACCTTATTCTTATTACTACTTCCGTGTGCAACGAGGTACGGTCAGCGGTAGATATGGACGTTTCTCGAACTCAATTTGGATGGGAACACCAGAAACAAGTAAGGAGGTCATGTGTAAACTTTTTTAGATACAAGAATTTTCAAGAGCGGACCATAAAATGAAACTGTTTTTGCCTGCACCTGTTCAGGTTATTTTTTGTTTTTGTTGTCTAAATCTCGAATGATGTAAGTCGCAGCTTTTGTCGCTGATGTTGTTGCTTGACTTGTTATTATCATTGTCGATGCTGTCGTTTTTGCTTTTGTCG